GTTTCCATGATACTTACACCCAAGGATCTTAAAGCACAAAACATATTAAAATCCTACAGTATCTCTCAGATATTGTAAATGTTTAATCCTGGGCTGTAGTCCTAGTCCCTCTCTATCATTATCAATGTATTATATGAAAATAGAATCTCTCTTGCTTTATTCCTTATTTCATTGTGAAAGCCATAATGATCCATGGTCTGTGGTATCACAAGAAGATGGTGGCATTAGAAGACTGATTCTGATTTCAGGTGTGAAACAAAACTCTTCATAACCATAGTTTTGCAGATGTCCCTCAGCATGATGTGCAAAGAAAGGCAAACACTGGCATGGTGGTTGCTATGTAAAATGTATCTGTTGCTTTTTGCAAAGCATCAGCATTTCAAAGGTCATGTCAAAAAAGAGTTAATCCCATCCCTTTCCTAACTTGAAGGTTTATAGAGATACTGAATCACTACAGTGTAATCCTGACTTCCATTTATCTCTCTGGGCTATCTAAAGGTCATTAATGCTTCTGGAGATTCCAGTGACCTGTGCTTTGCTAGGAAGACTTCAGTCCTGAAAGCTTCTGAATTCTGCACACCTGGAACTCCTAGTTTTATAAATGTCCAGTTTGAGAGAGGTTTTGAGTGTCCCCTGAGCTCTTTGTAACATGGGACATTTTCTGGATAGCCTAGAGCTATTTTTTTCTCACTTAGCATTTTTAATGTGAAGTATTTTTCTGGCCATTGCTAGATACTCAGTTAAGTTACTTGTATTTAGTTGTCTAGTTGACTTTATGTGAGTAAATTATAGAATTCCATAAGCAAATACTATTTGTGTTCTTTCTTTTTCAGACAGAAGAAAGACGATTTATAAAACATTTACAGTTTACCACCTGGCCAGACCATGGCACTCCTAAACTAGCAGAACAGCTGGTAAAATTCATTTGTTACATGAAAAAAGTTCATCAGACAGGACCTATAGTTGCTCACTGCAGTGCTGGGATTGGAAGAAGTGGGGTTCTACTATGTGTAGATATTTTGCTGAGCTACATAGAGAAAAATCTGTGTGTAAGTATATCTAAAACAGCTGGTTATAAATATGATGGCTGACTATTTTATTGTAGGACAGCTTGGATCAAATTCACTCCTGCTGCAATTTGATTCAAGTAAGTCCATTTTCAAAAGAAACTTGATTTCTGATGTTGATTTTGGCCTTTAGGGATAACAATTAAGAGTAAAATATTTATGAAAGTAAAAACTCAAAGTTTTCCCACTAGATTGTGTCTTCTCTTTGTTGATAACGTTGTTCTTTTCTGACAGTTCAACATCAAACAGATAGTGAGAGAGTTGAGACATCAGCGCTTTGGCATGATTCAAACAAAGGTAAGGTCTCCATAAGGAAATCAGATTAGCTCTTCATCAAAGGCCCTGCTTCAGAGCGGCCTTTCTGAATTCAAAGGTGAAATGCCATTGAATTCAATGAGAGTAAGCATGTACCTATGCCTACCACCTTTACTCCTACTGAGTCACACCTTACTACATGAGTGTCTTCCCTAGATTTGAGGTATTCCTCAATGTAATTCTAGTAGAATCTTGTCCTTATTAGGGAACAGAAATAAAAGCATAGGAAAGTGATCTTTAGTGTTGTGTAATATGCTGCAGTCACTACTGACCCTTGATTTTCATGCTAGGATAGACAGTATTTCCAGGATTTAGCGCCAGTTTTGTACCAATCTCTACTAGTTACTCCTTGTTTTAAAAAGGAGTAACTAATAGACTAGAATAACCTTTAACATGAGTTGGGTTTTATAAGTCTTGCCCCCAAAAGGTACAGCTTTGAAATGAATCCTTGGGATGGAAGGGTGGACGAGTGCCCTGTCAGCTACTACTAATCTATCTCTGCCCCTGACAAGTTTTCATATATGACTATTAAGAGATAAATGAGCTGAATTTGATGAGGAAAGCATCACAGGGATGGAGGGATGAGACAATTGTGTGAGTAAATGGAGGAAAGCATATAGATCTACTGCAGTACAATATTTAAACATGTACTTAGATACATCTATCTTATGGACAATGCTTTAAGCATTCTAATATTATAAAAGCCTTAGTCTGTCTGTCCGTAATGCTTTATTCGCACCCTTATTGGTTGTCTAAAACAACCAATCAGAGTGCTCCAAGGACGTTCTGGACAGAAGGTAGTGGCGGAGCCATGGTGAATCATGACAGTGGGGACCGGAGGGGCAGGGGGGAAGTGGAGCCAGCACCGTTGGCCTTGCCCCTTCCTGCCCTGCTGATCGGAGGCAGCGGCGGGTGGAGTAGGCCCCAAGCAGCAGTGTGTGGGGAGAGGAGGTGGGGAGTGGCCCCGGGCCCAAGGCGTTAGGGGGGCGGTGAGAGGGGAGAGAGAGGAGTGGGCCTGGGCCCGGCCCCAACCTGGCTGGGGGGGGGAGGGGGAAGGGAGGTGTGGGCCTGTCCTCCCCCTTCCGCTCCCACACAGGGATGTGGCTCCCACCCCTTCTGCCCCTCCCCGTCATTCTTGATGGGCAGCTTGCTAGTGTGTCTGTAATGGCACACTAATTTGCATTGACTTCAATGGCCTTGAGTATACTAAATGTGCATCTGAAAACTTCATGTGCATGTACTTACGTTCTAAAGAGGAAGGCCTTCCTGAGCCAAGACTTTAATGAATGAATGGGAGAAAAAGGAAGGCCAGAGTGAATGGGGCAGGAGGGAAAAAAAATAAATAAATGCAGGGAGGAGAACAAAACCAGTGAGTTAATGGGGGAGGGGAGACAAAAGACCTTGAACACCCCAAATTTCATGCAGCCCTAGATGATAATTCATTTTATGAAGGTGTGTCCAAAGCAGGAGCTTCAGGAAGCTCTGCACCCTTTGCATACATGTACCGAATGTGACAGAGTGACTGTGCTGGTTTCTCCACATGTCCAGGATCAGTACCTATTCTGTTATGAAGTTGTGCTCAAAGTCCTGCAGAACATTCAAGCCATGGATTCCCATCAACTGCAATAAGTACCTCTGCTATAGCTGTTCATCTTGGAGTCCCTGCATTACTTCATTCTAAAAGGATATTAAGCCAGCACAGGGAGGTGCTACACTGAATATATTATGCACTGTCTTACTTTCTACACTGTATTAGATTATGATATTTGAAGTATTTCTAAATCAGCATAATGTGAGCTAGATGTCACATAGATTTTGGCTCTATATATTGAAAAACTCTCAGCATCACAATGCCACTATTGGGTTATCACAGTAATTCAGATGCTCGGCATTGCAGCATATTGGTGGCTAGAACAACAAAGTTGACTAGTGGCCAAGAGATGATACACCTTTATGAAGGACTACAACTATTATCAACTAACTTTTATTGTAAAAAAGGCAGTTAAAATGCTCCTGTACCATGCATGTAGCAAGTGGAAGAAACTGTCCCTTAAATGTCACTCTATACACTTGCTCCTTTATTTTGTATCTATATTCTTTATTCCTAGCAATGCTGTCAAGTGCTTGGAGTCAGTATGTTTGCTTCTGGTAGTATGAATAACTTAGACCAGGGGTCTGCAACCTTTATGAACTGTGGGTCATAGCTTTCAATCTGGCTGCTGCTCTGAGCCACTGATCCCCTGCTGTTTCCCCAGCACACCATGCTCTCTCGTATCCCACCACAGCCTCCGCTTACTATGCCACAGATTTCTATGGCCAATGGACATTCTGAGGGGCAAATTCAGTAGGGAGGGTAGAGAGCAGGTAGGACCAGGCATCAACCAGGACTATGCAGGCAAGAGGTGGAGCTCAGCATAGGAAAGCACCGGGACAAATGGCGCACAGCAGGCAGAAGGAAGTTGGGGACACCTGCTCTGTGGTCCACACCACTGTGTGCCACTCTTTCCCCCACTTCCTCCCAGCTGCAGTAAGCTAGATCCAAACTCTTCCAGCCTGCAGTCAGAAAATTGCCAATCCCTGACTTAGCCCATTTCCTGGCATTGTACCAGGTTTGGAGTTCACACTGTGATCAATGGAAATCACAACATTGATGGCAGGATGTGGCCCTGAAGCTTTAGTGAGGTGCCTTCAAGGCAGGGAAATGATGCTATGGAATTGGAGAGGAGCAAAATTTTGTCCAAGCAAGATAAACATATGCAGATATAATTAACTTTCTCAATGTGCACCCATGTAAAAGAGAAAGTGATACTAACCAAGATGAATGTATTTGTACATATACCTGTGACCTTTTCCATTGTAGGTTTTTTTTTTTTAACTTAATAATCCCTTATTTAAGGCCTAATCCAACTTCCACTGAAGTCAATGCAAAATCCTTTTGATTTTGGTAGGGGTTGAATCAGGCCTTTAAGTGAGAGCTAATAATGCTGTTACAGAATCTTTTTTTGCAAGAGCCAATTTCCATTGTGCAAATTCCACCATTAGCATTCTAGTCAACAAGACTTGCATTATAGTTAAACTGGAAAACTCTCGAGATTTCTTATGTACCACACAGGCAGGGGGATTGTGGGGATTTCATTCATTTATGTTTATGAATTGTTAACTATGTTTATCAGTGCATTTATATCTTATGTTGAAGATCATATTTATGGAGGTACAATTATTATATACCTAGAGGAAGATTACATTATTTTAAAACTAGGCTGTGTGGTTGTAAATATATTTAATTACAATGTGTATATTAAAACAGCTCCCTTACCTCCAAACAGGGATAATATTAAGGAGCAATTGCCTACAAAAACACTCCATAAGCTAGATGATAATACCATTGTTTTAATATTATTACGAATTCAGAACAATGGATTTATGGAACAGAAGGACTATGACATTAAATATAACTTAAAAGCTGATTTTCAAAAAGTTCGTCATTAATCTTAGAATACTTGTTATTTTATAATGGACAGTTCCTGCTTTCTGCCATCAGTGATCCTGAGGTAATCTGGCAATAACAGTGAGTAGCATTTACAGTGCAAACCAGCTTCTGATTTAAATGCCAGAAATTGGGAGAAATCAAGATTAACTCAGTGGAGTATGTCTCAGAGTTGGATCTAGAAGGGTTGCAGCAGTACACTCGCACATCACTTTGGCTGTGCTGCACGTAAGCTCTCAGCGTGGGATCTGGCCAGAGCTCCTGCTTTCACATAGCTCTGGAGTCCAGGGAGTGAGGGGACTGCTGCCATTCATCTTCTCCTTTTCCCTTGCTGCTGAATTGAGTGGGGAACATGAACGACTGATGCCTCCCAAAACTGGGTGGAGGGCACCATTTGTAGGCAGCAGCATCGGCAGTGAGCAGAGACTACCCACAGATGCTGGCGGCTGTGTTGGCGCTGGAGGGGGAGTGGCGAGCGGCAACCTCCCGCAGATGCTAGCAGTGGCAGTGAATGGGGACCACCCACAGATGCTGGTGGCAGCAGTGAAGGAGCGGCGGGTGGCAAGTGGCAACTGCCCGCAGAAGCCAGCAGCGGTGACCAATCTTGGGGGGAGGGGGTATGGAGTATGTGTCCCCCATACTCCTACTATGGGTCACCTATGGTGGGGAAGGGGAGACAGCAGAAGGGTAAACAGTAGTTGCAATCACCCCCTGGGCTCCAGTGCTATGTAAAAGCAGGGGCTAAAGTCAGAGCCCACCCTGATCAGCTGGTGAGCTCAGAGCTCACTGCTCACACAAAGCTCCAGCTGAAATCCATGCTGGCCAGGCAGTGAGCCCAGAGAGCTTAGTGTTTATGTGTGGCACAAAGTGAGCAGCGTCGCACCCCTCTTGCCTCAGTCCAGGATCCATTATTGGTATGTTTGGATTCACACTAGTATACATAAGAAGAGTATCTACCATTTTGTCTTCAGCTGATTTTGAGCCTTCTGGAAAGCGTTAGCTTCCATATATTACTCATTTGTTTTACTGTCTACACATTGCATCCAGAGTATTAGTTGCACAATTCTGTTAGGCATCATTAGTGAAAAGTACAGTCAGAAGTTTGTTATCTCCATTTGGTATTTGGCCTTTCACTGTGGTTTGATATACCATGGTACATTACTAAGATACCATTGCACACTCTAATGCACAATTCACTTTTTGTACTTGGCTGATTCAAGCCAGATCTTCAACAGAATAATTTTTGTACTTAAAAGGTGTTTTATTGGTTGCTGGGAACAGCTGTATCACGTTTGGAAAGGCAATCCTTTTGGCAATTTGTGTTGCTTCAGTTTTATTTGTGCGTTGACTTTGTAGCTGTTTGAACAGAAATGTTTCCTGTTTTACAGGAGTATTAAAGAGATCTTAGAAAGTACTAGTTTCCATTTCGTTTTAGTCTCATATGGACATAGGACTCAAAGGGGCCTCTTGGGTCAGAGTCCAATTGATTGCACTCTTAGCCAACCATTTTATCCAAAGAGTCCTGAAAATAATCCACTCCAGTCCCTCACATTACACCCACAAAACACATTATCAAAATGAAATGAAAACACCTAACAATCTGCCACAGGTAAAATGCAGGGGAAGCAGGGCCACAGTCAATGCCCTGCCAATGTAGTGACAGAAAAGTAATTGGTTGATCTATACTCAGAGAACTATGTCCTATGCCAAAGAGGAAGGGGAAAAAAATCCACAGTCTTTATCAAACTGGCCAGGGGAAAAAATATTTTCTGCCCCCAATCTCACAGTTGGTATGACCTCAGTAGAAGAGCAAGACCCTTCAGTCAGATATATGAATAGTTTTCAAACACCAGCAGAATTGTCAATGCACCCTAGTCAAAACCTACAGCTTTCATGATGGTCAGCATCCAGTGCTGCAAAGGAAGGTGAAAGAATCGCAGAAGCCAATAAAGGGATCATGAGGAGAATTGCACAGAATCCAAAATAATCTAATGTAATAAAAGGCTTAGTCTGTCTGTCTGTGTGTCTGTCTGTCTGGAATGCTTTTGGGCAACTGCGCATGCACCACCGAGAGTGGGGGCAGCAATTGGCTGCTCAGCCTGGGCTGCAGAGACCCAAGTTTGAGCTGCTACCGGGGAAGTTCGTGGTGGTGGCAAACACGCCACAGTGGCCTGAGCAGTGGGGCTTTCCCACACCTCCCTGCCTGAGGGTGAAGGGGGTGGGGATCAGTGGTGGCACTCCCCCACTGCCCAGCCCCACTGCCTCCCAGAACAGCTAGTGAGGGGCGGGGGGAGAGAGGTGGTGGGCAGGGAAGGCAGGAGGCAAATGTGGAGGGGTAGAGCAGGGCTGGACCCGGAGTGGCCAGGGGAGGGGTTGGAGCAGGGCCAGACCTGGAGCAGTGTGGGGAGGGGGCCAGGTAGAGCAGGCCCAGGCCTGGAGCAGAGGGGGAGGGGAAGGCAGACCTGGAGTGGCAGGGAAGAGGGGTGGAGTGGGGTTGGACCTGGAGCAGCTGGAGGAGAGGGGTAGAGCAGGCCCGGACCCGGAGTGGTGGCGAAGGAGGGGGGCCAGACCCAGAACAGCAGCAGGGGTGGGGCCTAGAGTGGGGCTGGACCTGGAGTGGCCGGGAGGGGTGGAGTGGGGCTGGGCCTGGGGCCAGGTCCAGCCCCACTCTACTCCCCTCCCTGTCACTCCAGGTCTGGCTGGCTCTGTCCCTGCCCACCCCATCCATCATTCTTGATGGGCAATTTGATAGTATAATATTATAATAAAGGTTAACCAACCGACAAAATTTTTTGAAGAGCTATGATCCCTCATGTTCTGTGGCCAAAACCAAACTCTTAATTTCTGGGGATTAACTGTTTCCTTCTAGGAGAATATTCTTATATAATAAAGGGCTTAGTCCATCTGTCTGTCTGTCCATAACACTCTTGGAGCACTCTGATTGGTTAGTGAAGCAACCAATCAGAGTCTGGAGTGCTGACATGATGGCAGAGATGGAGGGGACTGAGCAGGGAGGTGAGGCCAGTGCCATGGCAATGCTCTGCCGCCTCTGAGGAGCAGGGCCGAGGCGTGGGGGGAGCCAGCGGCACTGGAGGTGGCGGTGGTGCAGGGTGCTGGTGGAGAGGGACAGAGGGGACAGTAGGGCAAATTCCCCCCACCCTCACACGCCTGGGAGGCAGCGGTGGCATGGGGTGGTGGTGCTCCATCCCTGCCCACTGCCCACCCCCCCCAGATTGAGGGAGGTGATGCTCCCCCCCAAGCAGCATTGGTCAGGCTGCAGTTGGAGTATTGTATCCAGTTTTGAGTGCTGCACTTCAAGAGAGACATGTTGAATCTGGACAGGGTTCAGAGGAGGGCCACTCGCATGTTTAGTGGCCTCCGTGAAAGACCCTATGAGGGGAGGCTGAGGGATCTGGTCCCTTCAGCCTTCACAAGAGACATCTGAGGGGAGACCTTGTAGCCACCTATAAGTTTATCAAGGGAGGACAGCAGGGAATTGGAGATGTGCTGTTTACCAGGGCACACCTAGGAGTAACTAGGAATAATGGGTGCAAACTAGTGGAGAGTAGATTCAGGTTAGAAGTTAGGAAAAAATGTTTTACAGTAAGGGTGGCCAGAATCTGGACTGGACTTCCAAGAGAGGTGGTACTATCACCTAACTTGGAGGTCTTCAAGAAGAGGCTTGATAGACACTTGGCTGGGGTCATCTGACCTCAGTCCTATTTCCTGCCAGGGGCAGGGAGTCGGACACGATGATCCTTTGTGGTCTCTTCTGACTCTACAATCTACGAATCTATGAATCATTCTTGACTGGTAATTGGCTACTTATCCCATAACTGCCTATTGTGACAGTTCTTGTACCAATCTCTAAAGTATCTGATGCTGGTCATTGTTGGAGACAAGACACCAAATGACAAGTATTTTTCTGAATGAAGGTTAATGCTTGAACACCTGCATACTATTCTGCTTCAACATCACTACTATTAAAGGATCACACCTAACACCACAAATATATATGCATATTGTACAAGGTTTGTACTGTTCTAAGATACATACATACATAAGGAAAGAACAGTCTTCTGTGTATGTAAAAATTTGCAGCTTGCCTCAGGAAACAATTTCCCCTAAAAAAATGTGTGGTAATTTTGTGCCAAATGTCTTAAAAATTGCTGATCAGCAGCACATAGCAGAGAAGTGACAGCTGTGAACTGTACTTGTCAAAGAGAAATAGTACAGGCCATCCTGACACTCCTTCTAAATGCAATTAATTCATACTTCTTCTGTCTAAGAAATTGCAGACTTGCTTCCTTTAATAATCTTTAGGAAGATTTCCCAAATTAGAGCTGTAATTTAAACCAGAATTTTGTTCCCTACATACAAAAAAGTAGGGTGTGTCTACGTATTCATTAATGTACCATCATTAGCGCGCATTAAGTTTAGTACCTGTGGGTCTTTTTACGTATGTAAGTGCCGCAGTGCCAGGTGCTATGAAAAGCGCCTGGCCCTGTGACACTTGCAGCTGTGTAAATGGCAAAATGCATGTCAGCGTGCAGAAA